CCCGTCGTCCAGCCCCCCGAATGGCGACAGCAAAGCCGACGCTGGTCGGACGGTCCGAGACCTCTGACCTGGGGGGAGGGGGGGGGAGCCCCAGGCGTGGATGGCCGCTTCCGGCGCCCTGGGTGCTGCGCGCGTGCTGTTCGCGGACCTTGGGAGGGGGGAGGGGGGGGGGGCACCTGGGTTGGGAGCTGGGGGTGGGGGTGGTCAGGGGGGAGGGGGGAGGTGGGAGGGGCACCTGGGTTGGGAGCTGGGAGGTGGGGGGCACCTGGGGAGCTGGGGGGGGGCACCTGGGTTGGGAGCTGGGGGTGGTCAAGGGGGGAGGGGGGAGCTTCGAGGAGCAGCGATCGACACGGAGGTCGGTGCCGCGGGCCGCTCGACCCCGCGGCCCGACCGCGGCGGGCAGGCAGCGCTCCGCTCCGCGGCGCGACCGCCGCGGAGGCGACGAAGAAGCGAGCGTAGCCGCCGCCGCAGGCGAGGAACGCACGGGAGCGGGGGAAGGGGGGGCCGGGGAGGGGCGGAGCGGGAGGGGAGGATCAGGGGGGCGTAAGACCCGGGTACAGGGGACTCGGAAATCCCCGACGAGGTCGTCAAAAAAATGACGAGGCCGAGCCTGCATTTTGACGAGGCCTCCCGCTGCAGACATCCCACGAAACTCCTACTCGTCAAAATCCGAGTCGCGGTCGTCAAAAAACGATGGCGAACCCGAGTCCTGGCAAACCCGGGTCTTACGCTCCCCCGAGAGGAGAGGAAGGGGGCGGCTACCCACCAGACCACCCCAACCCAACCCGAAGATCCGGACTTCGGGTGGGGGGTGGTACGGGCGTCCTGTGTGTGTGTGTGTTTTTCCATGTTCCCCGACCCCCCCCCCACTGGGAATGGAGGGCAAATTGGGGCCGTCGGATTGGGTTGGAGTGGTTTAGTGGGTGGTGATAAGGGGGGGGGAGGGACATGCAAGGGAGGGGAGGGGAGGGGAGGGGAGGGGAGGGGAGAGGGACGGGAGGGAAGTCGAACGGGAAGGGGGGGGGGAGAAGAGGGAGGGGTTAGGAGAGAAAGACGGGCGCGCGTTGCACTTTCCTCTGATGCGAGCACGACCCCCTGCCTCTCCGCTCGGCCCTGCTCCCCCCGATCGAGCGCGTGACGCCGAGATCGTGGTCTGCAGCAGCGCCGTGACCCGTCGGGTTGGAGGCAGAGCTGGACCTGAAAACAAACGACTCGGCGGCGAGCGAGGGGGGGAAATGAGAAGGAGAAGGCCTTCTCGGAAGGCGGCGGGGCTTTTTCCGAAGCCCTTGCGCCTTCTCAGAAGTTCTCTGTGTCTTCGGGGAGAGCTTACAGAACTTCTCAAAAGACCGGGTGGCTTCCGAGCCTTCTGCCAAGGCCCGAACCTTCTTACTTCCCCCGCGGGCTCGCCGCCGAACGACACCATCCCCCCTACGGCCCCACGGGCCTTGGCACACACCACGAATACTGGCTTGGGCTTTTGCGTGGTATACGCTGCGGCCCGCGACAGGCCGCAGCGCACCATGGAGGGCCGCAGGTGGCGTGGTGTGGTTTGCTCTTTGGTCGAACCGAACCTGCTCACTTCCCCCGCGGGCTCGCCGCCGAACGACACCACCCCCCCGCGGCCCCACGGGCCTTAGCACACACCACGAATACCGGCTTGGGCTTTTGCGTGGTATACGCTGCGGCCCCCGACAGGCCGCAGCGCACCACGGAGGGCCGCAGGTGGCGTGGTGTGGTTCGTTCTTTTGGTCGAAGAGTGTCAACACCAGGAGGACGTGAGGCAGGATGACGAGGCTGTAACCCCGTTGGCGACCAGCAGGAGGCAAGCTTGCTCGGCGGATGGAGCCGTGTGCGAGGCAGGCGTGTCGGAATGTGTTGGCGACGGGAGTCCAGCAGGGTGGTTGACCCGCCCAGGAGACCCAGGATCCAAAAATGTTGACGTCTCACCTTCAGTTCCGCCTCAGCATGGGGGAAGCGGGTCCTCAGGGAAACGGGTCCTGGACCCCGGGGGCCTTCCCCCAGGACGAGATCTGCATCCCGGGCCGCTCTCTGACAGTCCCCGGGGCCCGTGGAGGGCCCCGAGAGCCACAGAACACCAAAAAACTCAGGACCTGTTTCCCTCCGGACCCGCTTCCCCCATGGCGAGCCGCCCGCCGCCTTCCGCCCACGTTCCGAGCACATTCCGCCAGTAGATCGCCGCCGTGACACTCCCGCCATGCGTTCGCTGGCCTCCACCGAGGGCGAAGACGCGCGCAAGGCGAGGCTCCTCCTGGAGCGCCCTACATGTAGGCTAGCGTTCGGCAGTTGGAAGTAGGAGATCGTCTATAGAGAAATGAACAGACAAATACATAAGTGAATTACCCCAGTGCGACCCTACCTAGAAGTTGGAGCCCATAGGAAAGCAGCATTAGTTGCTATGCTATGCTACGCTATGCTATGATATGACATGCTATGCCATGCCATGCCATGCTATGCTGCGCTATGCTATGCTATTTTATGTTATGCTATGATATGCTATGCTATGCTATGATATGCTGCGCTGTGCTATGCTGTGCTGTGCTGTGCTGCGCTATGCTATGCTATGCTAGCGCTATGCTATGCTATGCTGGGCTATGGTATGATATGCTGTGCTTCGCTATGCTGTGCTACGCTATGCTATGCTATGCTATGCTGTGCTCTGCTATGCTAAAGCTCAGCGAAGCTAAGATGAAGGTAAGCTAAGCTAAGATAAACCTGAGCTAAGATGAAGCTAAGTTAAGCTAAGATGAAATAAGCTAAGCTAAGATGAGATAAGCAACGCTAAGCTAAGGGGACGTAACTGGGGGAACCGCGGGGCGGATCCTGGGGGAACCGCCCGGGGCGAAGCCCACTGCCCGGCCCCTTTAAGATAGAGAGTAAGAACCCTTCTAGGCAGAGCCTAGGTAGGGAAATAATAGAAAAGTAAATAAATGCATGAAAGTGCATAAATGCATAAATACGTGGATGCATGAATATATATATATATATGTACATGTGTGCATACATACATACAGACATACATACATACATACATACATACATACAAACATACACACACACATACATACATACATACATACATACATACATACATACATACATACATACATACGTACATACATACAGATACATATATATACATACGTGCGTGCGTAGATACGTGCATGTATGCATACATGCATACATCAATATATATATATATATATATATATATATGCATGCATGCATGCATGCATGCATGCATACATACATACACACACATACATACATACATACATACATACATACAAACATACATACATACATACATACATGCATACATGCATACCTACGTATGCACGTACGTACGTACATACAAACACACGTACATGCATGCACACATACATGAATACGTGCATACACACATGCATGCATACATAAATACATGCATGCATACATACGTACATACACGTATACATGCACATACACATACACATACACATACACCTATACATATACATATTCCCATACCTATACATACACATATACATAGACCTACATACATACATGCCTACATACATACATACCCCAAACAGTGCTTGCAGCACTAGTGGTTCTTACTTCGGTTAACCATCTCGAGACCCTCGCCGCAAATCACCGCCGTGCCGCCCGTCGCCGCCTGTCGCCGTCGCCGCCCGTCGCCGCCATCCCCGCCCGTCGCCGCCCGTGCTGCCCGTCGCCGCCCGTCGCCGTCGCCGCATCGCATACATTGCACCGCATATATTGCATTACATAGGTTGCATCGCATACATTGCACCAAATAGATTGCACCGCATAGACTGCATTACACATAGTGCATCGCATACATTGCACCACACAGGTTGCACCGCATAGATTGCAAGAACTTGTTGTTTGGGGCTCACGCTGGCTAACATTTATATATATATATATATATATATATATATATATATATATATATATATATATATATATATATAGCGATGACGGCCGTTGCTGGCCCCAGCCGCCTCCCCCCCCCTCCCCCAGGGAACTGCACGATTCGTGCTGTCGACCGAGCTGTGCTTTTCGCCACTCCTCAGGCACTCCCAGACGGCGCCAGCGCGAAGTGTGACGCTACCTGCCCTGCCCCGCCCCCCCGCCCGCCTCCCCGCCTCCCACCCACCCCGGGTAACGCCCGCTTTCGCCCGGGAGTACGATGTAAAACACACACACACACACTCTCTAGGTCTGCAGTGACCTGAGCAAGGAGCAGTGGCAGAGAAACAGGCAGGCTGGCCAGAAAAGCGTGCGGGCAGTGGTCGCAAGGCTGCCGCCGTGCCCTCGGCACGCTCGGGCGCGCAACATACCTACTCTGTATGGTAAGCGTCTGTGGTTGTCTTTCCGCCCCACCCCTGAGTTCCGACGTCACCAAAAAATGAAGCATCATCAAACAAAACTCGACCGCAACCCTGCATCATTTTCCGAGCTGGGTAGATCCGTGAGGATCCCGGGGACCGAAACAAAGCAAAATCGCCCGTTGTGGAAAAATTGCGACACCAGGATCTCGAGGAAGGTTTCTGCGGTTTTCTGAACGCGACCCCCCCTTCTCGTCGCGAGGGGGTCCAGGGACGGCTCCCGCAAGATGGCCTCTTGGACCGCCTCGAGATCCGACCAGATGGCCCACAGAGGGTCCAAAGAGCGCCCCCCCAAAGGCCCAAACAGGACCGAAGAGGCCCCTCAGAGGCAGGCAGCTAAGAGGCGAGCGAGGAGGAAGAGAAGGAGAATGAGGAGGAGGAGGAGCAGGAGGAGGAGGAGGAGGGGAAGACGAGGAGGACCAGGATTAGTACAAGATGCATCAGCGATGTTTCAACACATCCGAAAGAGCCCCAAGTGGCCCACTAGAGGCCCCGAAGAAGACCCAAAGAAGCCTCCAACAAGCCCCCATGAATCGCAAGAACCATGCAACACTCGGACTCCGACTGCAGGGATCAGAGCAGGGTCGCCTGTCCACTGGTCCGGCTCGAACTCTGCCCGCGACTTGTCCTCCTGAGCGTCCGAGGCAGATGGGCGGCAGCGGTGACAGGCACCATCGGCGGTGCCGATGCCACCCTTTGAACCCCCCCCTTTGGGCATCGCTGCACCGATCCCTATCCCCACTGGCGTGGCCTTGGCCCCACTGGCTGACTTGCCCCCCTTGGGTCGGGATGTGTGCTGCCCCAGTCGGGTGTCGCGGGGCCTATCCCCGCCGGGGGTGGGGGGACTGGTGGGGCTGAGATACCTGAAGGGGCCCAGGGACACCCAAATAAATATGCACAAATCCAAGAATTCTCCATGTTTTCCCATATGTTCTGGGTTTTGGTCTTCCCCCCAAATGCCCATATTTTCCCCGAATTTTCCAGGGGATTGACGATTCATTGTGTCTGTATGTGTTCCCCCTCCTGAATGTCACGGTCCAGTGGGGATGGGGATCGGTTAGACGATGCTGGCTTGCACCCCCGCGTCGGCAACAACTCCGGAGCTCAGCACTCAACGCCCGCAAGCAGCACCGACTCTCGACCCCCGGTGGCGATCCAATGGCACCCGGGAGCTCGGCAAAGGTGTGCGGAGGGCACGCCGCGCCGATGCTGCTCCTGCGCTCCGCAAGCAGCGCAGAAAGTCAAACCTGGAGGTGAATTCAAAGGGGAGGGCAGGATCAGCGCATCGGATCGGAATGTGCGTCAGATCGAGCCGCATCGGCGCAAGGTCTGACTCGAATCGCATCGGACCTCGCCAGGTTGCACAACGACGCCATGCAGGCAATGGGCCGCATCGGACCGCCGGAACATCGGAATCGAATATGATCGGGCCGACCGAATCCTGTGGGCAGTCTGCCCTAGCTTCCACGCAGCGGCAGAAGTATGGAGGGGCGCAACCAGAGCAGCACGTCGGGTCCCACCGATCTCTGTGCTGTGACCTGAGCTGCTACTCTAGCTCGCAGCACGATCCGAACAAGCGGAAGGGCTACAGAAGAGCATGAACGCACCCCGACCCGGCCAGGAAGCCAAGCGATGTCGACGGACAGAGCCGGAGTCTGAAGGCCTCCTTCTGGGCTGGCCCGAACCCGCCCGAGCACTTCTCGGTACCCTGGCCTCTGGCGTAGCATGATGGCCGAGAGCTAACTTTAGGTCGGGCATGTCCTCCTACAAGGGGATTTTGAAAGAAAAATAAAGTATTCAAACAAAAACCCGGAAATACTCAAAAATCATAGATAAAATCGTCCCCAGACTATTGATTGACTACTTTGAATATTCCTCCTGCAGAGGGACACGCCCGACGTAGTGCTAATTTTTTGCTCGCGGCACACGCCCTGGAAACGGTGCGCCTGGGACACGGGGCGACGGGAGCGTCCCTGCACAAGCGCGCGGCGAGGCGCAGCCGATGGGACCCGTCCTCGGGCCCTGGCGCAGCTTGAAGCCTGCTGACTTCTTCGGCTGCCGAGATGCGCAAGACGCAGCACGTAGCGTGTCGATGCGGAGCTCAGCACGTAGACTGAACACGTAGATATGCCGCGATGCGTTCGCCGAAGCGTGGGCCAGTAATTACGCTGAGCCAACACGCAGCGGGATTAGCACGGACGTTTGTTGAGCAAGGCACGTGTGGCGTTTTAAAACGGGCATATCGAGGCAGCTAAGTCACTGACTTATTCGCTGACTCACCTGAGCAAACAAAGACGCCAGTATGTGCAAGCCCTCCACGACCACGCGCGCGCGAATGACCGCGCTCAAACGCGGGCGGGCGGAAACGGGCAGTACATCTGTGTGCGTGCTGTTGGCCTCCGATCGCCTCCACCTCCACCCCAAAGGTCGCTCCAGCCAGCGGAGGCGGCGATCTGCACAGGAAGTTGGCTGGGACGTTGTGTCCCCGCGTGGGTTGCGAGGACTGGCGAGGACGCGAGGGAAGCCAGCGAGGGCCACTTTCCGACGGATACACGTGGTTGCGTTGTCCTTCCCCTGCTGCCTGCGAGAATCTTGAACGAGTAGAAGCTGGCACAGCCCACCGCGCTTCCTCAAGCACGCTTCCTCACTAGCCGGCTGTGCATGCCACGGTAGTCCTGGAAAGATTCTGGCCAGAGTGGGGGCAGGGACGGGGCTTCTTTTTTGGATAAAGTGTAACCTGGACCTTCGCCACCTGGCCCTGGGTCTACAAAGCCGAACGGATGGATAGCTACATGTCTACTTACAGCTTCACATGCACAGAAACAGTAAGCACCGAAACAAACAGCTGCGCATACAAACATAACAGGTTTGCTACAAACACGGCTGCGCATGCACGGATCCAGGGACATTGATCTGGATTCGTGCCCCGTGACACGTAGTGGAACCGAGACGTATTCCTGTGCTGCCTGGCTGGCTTATGTACTTTTCGAAGGAGCCACCCTCCTCATCGCATCGAGTCGCTGGTGCCGCCATCATCATCCCGAGGCTCCATCGGCGTTCCGAAGCCACCCAGTTGGCCTCCCACTCCTCTGAGGTGCGGCTGGACCTAGGACAGAAGAACATTCTCCAAGAACATGAGACACTCCGCTGGCCCAGACTGAAAAGCCTTCGAGGGTACACTCCCCCAGGATGCACAAGAACATCCAACAGGCAGGAAGAAAATGAAGGTACCCTCCCCGAGCCGACCTCGATTTTATGCCTCGGTCCGACCGCATCCAAGACGGCCTTCGAGGTGGCACAGGAGAGCCGCCAAGGCTCAAGAAGGACTCGGCGAGGGACACAACAGCCCCCAGACCTAAGAAGACACCACGGAGTGCTCCATAGGCCCAAAGAAAAACATAGGCCCAAAGACATGCGCGAGAAATCCCACGAGTTCTCCATGGGGGCCCTCCAGGAGGCCGCCGACTGATCTCTGCACAAGGCACCCGCCAAGTTGCTCCAGGGCCCTCTCCGAAACGGCTCTGGGCCGCCCTCGACGACCGAAGCTGGGCAGGCCCACCAGAGGCCGAAAGGTAACGCCCAAGGAGAAGGAGGAGGAGGAGGAGGAGGTGGAGGGGGAGGGGGAGGGGGAGGGGGAAGGGGAGGAGGAGGAGGAGGAGGAGGAGGAGGAGGAGGAGGAGGAGGAGGACATGATTTTTTGTTCACAGCGCGGACCTCTGGAGGTCTCGGCCCATTCCCTGTTACCGGTTCTTCCTCCTGAAACGCTCTTTGACCGTCCTTGGGACCGGCGAGGGCCCCCGGAGGCCGAAAAAAGTCAAAAACCGTCCGTCGTGATTTTTTGCATTACGTCAAGGGGGCTGGGAAGGTCCTGGGAGGCCGAAAGAGCGGTGTCACATGTTACTGCTCTCGAGGCCATGGCGAGATCACGTATCACATGTCACGGCCTTCCCTACACCGGGGAAGCGAGCTGCTACATGTTGTGGCCCTCCATGTGATCTGAGGAGGAGAAGTGCCGCATGTTACGCCCCACTGGGCCAAGAGGAAGATAGCCATCACATTTCACAGCCCACTCGAACCTGCGGAAGAGCGTATCAGGGTAAGCCCCTCTTGAGCCTAGAGACCTGTCACATGCTACGGTCTTCGGGGGGGTCTCGAAAAGTCGCCACAAAGAGTACTGCTCTAGCGTGGTGGCAGAACCTGCCGCGGACACCTGGACTCGGAGAGTCGTACAAACTTGCGCACCGATGCGGGTGTAGACACGGGCACAAAGACGAGCAGTGACACACATGCCGACGCAGATGCACGCAATGTATGCGAATGTACACATACAGCGAGATGTAAGAGGCAGAGATGGCAGATACGTTTGAGCTGGGGGTATTTACGTAGATGTATACATATACATATACATAAACAGTTTCCCAAACAGTGCTTGCGCTAAGGTGTTTGTATTTGTTTTCACAGGAACTGAACCTGCAGGTCGGTCTGGCGGCTATGTCGTCGCTGTCGCCGCCCCGTCGTCTGGGCCTGCGTGTTGGTCTGGCGGCTATGTCGGCGCCGTCACCGCCCCGTCGCCGCCTTGTCGCCGCTCGTTGCCAAGGCCTGCAGGTCGGTCTGGCGGCTATGTCGTCGCCGTCGCAACCCCGTCGCCGTTTCGTCGCCGCAAGAAGGGCTGCACCACATTGATTGCACCCCATTTGTTGCACCGCAAAGATCGCCCAACGTAGATTGCAAAACATAGATTACACCACATAGGTTGCACAACATAGGTTTGTTTTACACCACATTGATTGCGCCACATTCATTGCGCCACATGGATTAAACAACATATTTTGCACAGCACGGAGTGCACAACATAGATTGCACAACATAGATTGCACAACAATGATTGCTAGAAGATAACCTGATCATAATCCACGTTGGCTAAACGATGTAAATATGTACATGTAACTTCATGTATACAAATACGAACATTCGTGCAGAAAGTGAGAGAGAGAGAGAGAGACAGATGAAATGGGCGACAAGTGACAGTTTCGCTGGGAGGGGCAAAAGAATGCCTGCTGCAGCACCCTGAACTTGGCTGGCAGCGCCGAGGTGTTGTGCAGATAGAGGCTCTGGTGAAAGGGGTACCTGATGAAGACGTCTCCTGCCAGCCCCGCCCGCGCCCGACAGAGTGCGATCCGATGAAGACAGGAACAGTCATCAACGAATCAAAAAATCGGGTCGAATCGGATTGTGCCTCGGATCAGGCTGCATCAGCACAAAGTCGGACTCGAATCGGATCCGAGCGGCAGCGACAGGCTGCACAACCACGCCATGCAGGCATCGGGCCGCGTCGGATCGTGGGGACGCCGGAGCCGACTCGGATCGGGCCGGCCAAAGTCGACGCCGAAGCAGATCGATTTGGATCGAGCGTGCCCCGTGAAGGCGCCGGATCCTGGGGGCCTTCCAAAGAGGGGGGGGGGCGTCCGAGAGGGGGACGCGCAAAGCAGGGCCCGAGGCACGTGCGCGGACGAGGGGGGCAGGCCAGGGGGACGCGGTCGACAGACGACAGGAGAGGGCCGCTGGACTGCCCGGAGACTTCCTGGCCTCGTGCTGCCAGGGGGAACACTGAACAAGGATCGAAGGGGCTGTCTGGGCCACGGCCAGCCTGGGCCCCGAGTCGGCCCCCCGACCTAGGTTTGAAAGAACGGCCCGAATCCCCGAGCTCCTCCTCAGCCCAAAGAGGTCCACTCAGTTCAGCGTCTGGACTGCACCCCCGCGGCTCGCCATCGAGAGCGGGGGTTAACCAAACAGAGCTCTCCATAAAAACACGTCGCTGAAACACGTCGCTGAAACACGTCGCTAAAACACGTCGCTGAAACACGCCGCTAAAACATGTCGCTAAAAAACGTCGCTAAAACACGTCGCTAAAACTCGTCGTTACAACACGTCGCTAAAACTCGGCACTGCAGAAGGTTGTCGGGGTGGGGAGTTGGCTTGTTGTCCGCTTGCAATCCCGGCAGCCCTCTGGGCGTAAGTGGTTCAGCCAACTGCGTCTTCTTACTGCTCAAAAATCCTCCTTCCTCTGCTCGGGGGAGGGACCCCCTCCCCTGGGCCTGGAGGGAGCGGGCCGCGAGGCGTCATTGCGTCCTTTTTGGCCCAAGATGAATCCAAGAGGGCCTCCGAGAGCCCAAGAGGCCTCCAAGATGGCCCACGATAGCTCAATATGGATCTAGATAGCCTCCGACACGCATCTAAGAGGACCCCAGACGGCCCCAAGGTGGTTTCAAATGCCCTCCGAGCCCTCGTGTTTTAGCGGCGTGTTTTAGCGGCGTGTTTTAGCGGCGTGTTTTAGCGACGTGTTTTTGGCACCGCCGCAGCCACGACTCCGACCGCGACAGCGACCACCACTACGACCACGACTACGACCACTACGACGACCACCACCACCACTGCTGCACCACCACGGCTACGACTCCTACCACTACTACCACCACCACCACCACCACTGCTGCATCTACTACTACCACTGCTACTACCACTACTACCACCACTCCTACTACCACTACGACCACCACTCCTACTACCACTACGACCACCACTCCTACCACCACTCCTACTACCACTACGACCACCACTCCTACTACCACTACGACCACCACTCCTGCTACCACTACGACCACCACTCCTACCACCACTCCTACCACCACTCCTACTACCACTACTTCCACCACTCCTACTACCACTACTACCACCACTCCTACTACCACTACTACCACCACTCCTCCTACCACTACGACCACCACTCCTACCACCACTCCTACTACCACTACGACCACCACTCCTACTACCACTACTACCACCACTACTACCACCACTACTATTTCCACTACTACCACCACTCCTACCACCACTACTATTTCCACTACTACCACCACTCCTACCACCACTACTACCACCACTCCTACCACCACTACTACCACCACGACTATTTCCACTACTACCACCACTACTACTACTACCACTACTACCACCACTACTACTACCACTACTACCACCACTACTACCACCACTACTATTTCCACTACTACCACCACTCCTACTACCACTACTACCACCACTACTACCACCACTACTATTTCCACTACTCCCGCAACCTCTACAGGCCCTACAGCGACGTGTTTAAGCGACGTGTTTTAGCGACGTGCTTTTGGCGACGTGTTTTTACGGATACCAGCTCTGCGTGGTTAAACACGTCTTCTGTTTGGTTAACTTACCCCGTGCTCGCCCATCACTCCCCAACCCCCTGGACGCCCCCGATCATCCTCATCACCATCACCACCATCACCATCCATTACCATCACGCATTACACGCATCGCGCACGAGGCAAGATCCTGCTCCGCACACGGACTCACGGGCAAAACACTGCGAGAAGAGCCCCCCGCCCGTCCGCTCCCAGAGCCCAGGAATGCGGAGCAACTCCCTCTGCCGGCACGCGAGCCGCCCGGCCCGTCCCGCCCGCACGGCCCCCCGGGGCAGGACCGGCGGCCCGGAGCCGTCCCTGGAGCCCCATCTCGCTGCGAGAACGTCGCGACGCAGGGCTCCTGCCAGTTTGCGGCCTCGGGGGCCCCTGCCCGGGCCTCGGGACTGTCAACAACACGACTCGGGATGAGAAGCCAGGCCCGCCGGGGAAGGGGGGGTCCAGGCCTCAACGGTCACTACGTCGGACGTCCGGGTCCCCGGGGGACGGGCTGGGCCCTTCCCCCACGGCCGGCTCCTGCCGCGGTGAGTCCGACGGCGGTGCCTGGCGCCGCGCGGACCGTTCAGCCTTGCACGGTCAGCAGCCCTTCGATCGCCAGATCGTTCGATTTGGGCCGATTCTGGACAGCCGGCTGCGCACCAACCCTGCGCGCCCGCGGCGGGGTCGCTGCCGTGGGGACACGGCACGACCCTGCCGCACCCCCACTCAGCGGTGCGCACAGGGGGCTGGGCTGGTGTGAAGGGGGAGCCCTTCTCTAAGAAGGAAGGGGCTTCGCAGCAGGCGCGCGGCTGCTCAGAAGCGCCTGGAGGCTTCCAAGAAGGCTTATCAGAGGCCACCTGCCTTCTCAGAAGCGCCCCCCGCCTTCATACGAGGCCGCCCCTCACGCGCCACCCCCTTGCGTGCGCGCCACCATCCCACGTCGCAACACTTCTCCCTCGCCTGTGGACTGGATGTGGCCGGCAATCTGGCGCGGTGGCCGTCCCTGGCCATCCGTGGCGGCACGCACGAGGGGGCAGGGGGCGGGGGGAAAGGCTTCTTAGAAGGAGGCTGCTTCTTGGCAGGCGCGGGCCTCACGTCCACAGACAAGGCCCGCGCCTTCCTAGAAGCGGGGGTGCTTCAAAGAAGAAATCCCACCCACCCCCATACCACCCTCTGCGCGTGACCGACATCCGCTGAGAGGAGGACGAGGCAAAGAAGGAAATGCGCGCTGGGCGAAGCCTCGGGTGTGCTCTTGGGGCCCTGCTGGGGCTCTGTTTGGACCCATTGAGAGCTCTCTTGGAGCTCTGGTGGGGCTCCTTGGAGCCTGAGGAGCCTTCCTGGGGCCGACATGCGACCAGCGTGGTGTCAAGTACAGGTGGTCGCGCTGGCCTTCTCGCGATTAGGAGCTCTCCTGGGGCCCTCCTGGGACCCACTCGGGGCGCTTCGGGAATTCTCACGGGGCGCAGTGGAAGCCATCTTGGACCATCGCGTGGCATCGTGGTGGCTATCTTGGAGACTGCCTCGCCTTGTACTGATTTGCCGAGGCCAAGGCGAAATCGTGGCACGCGGGTCCCGCGGCCGAGTGGCGGTTTGAAGAGTTGACCCGATCTGTTAGGGAGAATGCCTTCCCAGTGCCCCAACTTCGGCGGATTGCTGGGATTCAAAGCCGCATTTTCGCAACTGAAACCGAAGTCGCCGACTTGCATGAGCAACGACAACAATGTTTGTACAAGAATGCTCAATGTTTTCGATGTTCAACCTGCGTTCACTACGATAGCTCCCCCTTTACGGGGAAATCATGTCATGCATCGTGGAGGCGGCATCCCCTTACCCAGATCTCCCGCCCGAAAATGTTTGGCCAACACCCCTTACGAGGCAGTTTACCGTTTTCAGATTAAATCTTCGGGGTCGCCTTTGGGCCGTCGTGGCGGCCTCTTTTTTTAGGGGGGTGGTTCTCGCAGCGCTCGACAGGCCCGGGACCGAGAGCTGATCTCCACAGTGGGCTTGCACAGCTCTCCAGGCCCCACAGGCTCAGTCGATCTGCATCGAGGACGCCTGCTGCCAGACATGCTTCACTACGCACCTGGAAAGGCTACCTTCTGATGTCGAACTGACTGGGTCGCCAAGGCCGCCACTCTTCCCCAACCAGAATGTCGGGGACTTGCTGCTCAACGAATCGAATCGTGTACGTGCCAACACTTGTGACCCTTCCGTAGCAAGAAGCACGAACATTCCCATAATTCAAATTGAGGCGGCGAGCAGCTTCTAGCATAGACGGGTACTGTGCTGTTTCCTTGGTGATCAAGTGTTTTGTGACAACAGGTTTGCCGAGCGCCATTGGGCCCCTGATTCGGTCCGTTTTGTACGAAAGTAATACGTTTTCACTGCGCGAGACCCACTGCAGATTACAAGCCCGATTATTCGCTCGATCGCGATCGATGTGGTTGATCTCACAGCGTTCTGGATCTGGTGGTGGGCCGATGAAAGCGCGAGCCACAAGTCTATGCACAGAGAGCGAGCTTCCAGCGACGTTTACTCTTAGATATTGATCGGGACATCGAGTGCCCCAGCCCACGCATGTCCTGGAAGACTTAACCCGACCTTCAGAACTCACAATCCAATGAGACAGACTCTCTCCTGTGTCTGGATGCACTGCCTGCCTCCACTCCTCACCAGGAGCATTCTCTAACACATCGGCCAATGCGTACTTGAACTCGTAACCGCGGGTTTGTTTCAACAAGTTCCTGCAACATCTTGAAATGCATGACGAACTTAGGTCCAAGTGTCGCGCGGCTTCGACCATGGATGGGTACTGGGTCCACACATTGGTCCCAACGAATCTGCCCAAGATTGGTCTAGCAAGCATCCACCCACCAGTCTTACGATCCAGGTTGGTAGAATATGAATGAAGAACATTCTGCGAAGGTGTGGCGTACTCTAGGTTGGCCACATGGTTGTTCGATTTAACTCCATCCTTATGGTTGATCTGAGAATGCCATGGTGTTGGGGGAGGCCCAAGGAATGCCTCTGCTACAAGACGATGGACACGACGTATGCGGCCAGCGACTGTAGTTACTCGATAGCCACTTGCAGTCAAAGTGCCAACCCCGATGTTTCCTGACCGATGCTGCACACGGCCAAAACTACTCACCATAAGGCACCTTGGATGTAATAACGGCGTGTGCGAAACTGGTCGAGCAACAGGTACTGCACTCACCTGAAAAACGAAGGACGGCAACGCAAGCGAAGAACGTGCCCGACCAACCACTCCGCATAAGAACATATCGAGAGATGGCTTTCCCCAGACGCCGGAAACCGTACGGCCCGAGTTATTCAGACATCTGGAAACATGGGCACGAGCGGTCTAGGGACGGTCAAAGACATAATAGCCTAAGACATATTCATTTGCCAAAGCACGCTTGATCATTGTGCCAGACCAGCTTGAGCCAAATTGACTTGAGCCAAAATGGCTACGTACGGAGCCGTCTTGGCGGCCTCTTGGGCCATCTTGGGGCTCTCTTTGGCCGTCCGAGGGCCTCCTGGGGCGCCCTTGGAAGTTGATTGGCGCCTCTGCGGGACACTTGTGACGCCTCTGCAGGAGCCTTTCGGAACCCTGCAGAGGCCGCCCAGAAGCCCTCCAGAGGCGATGCCGAAACGAGGGCTTCGCACTGGAGTAAGAGGTATGGATTGAACAACATAGTTTGCACAACATAGAACGCACAACATACAATGCACACCCACAAAAATTGCACAATAAATATTGCACAGCATTGATTGCAATACGCGGATTGCACCGCATATTCTGTACCACCTCAATTGCACCATATAGGTTGCTCGAAACAGATTGCATCACATAGATTACACTCGTAGCCGCGGGCTTGTTTCGACAAATTCCTGCAACATCTTGAAAGACATGACGAACTCAGGCTCAATTGTCGCGCGGTTTCGACCATGGATGGGTACTGGGTCCACACATTGGTCCCAACGAATCTGCCCAATATTGGTCTAGCAAGCATCCACCCACCAGTCTTACGATCTGGGTTGGCAGAGTATGAATGAAGAGTATTATGTGAAGGTGTGGCGTACTCTAGGTTGGCCACATGATTGTTAGATTTAACTCCATCTTTATGGTTGATATGAGAATGCCATGGTGTTGGGGGAGGCCCAAGGAATACCTCTGCTACAAGACGATGGACACGACGGGTGCGGCCGGCGAATCTAATTACTCGATAGCCACTTGCATTCAAACTGCCAACCCAAATGTTTCCTGACCGATGCTGCACACGGCCAAAACTACTCACCATAAGGCACCTTGGATGTAACAATGGCGTGTGCGAAACTGGCCGAGCAACAGGTACTGCACTCACCTGAAAAACGAAGAACGGCAACGCACGCGAAGAACGTGCCCGACCAACCACTCCGCATAAGAACATATCGAGAGATGGCTTTCCCCAGACGCCGGAAACCGTACGGCCCAAGTTATTCAGACATCTGGAAACGTGGGCACGAGCGGTCTAGGGACGGTCAAAGGCAGCATAGCCGAAGCCAGACTCATTTGCCAAGGCACGCTTGATCATTGTGCCAGACCAGCTTGAGCCAAATTGACTTGAGCCAAAATGGCTACGTACGGAGCCGTCTTGGCGGCCTCTTGGGCCATCTTGGGGCTCTCTTTGGCCGTCCGAGGGCCTCCTGGGGCGCCCTTGGAAGTTGATTGGCGCCTCTGCGGGACACTTGTGACGTCTCTACAGGAGCCTTTCGGAACCCTGCAGAGGCCGCCCAGAAGCCCTCAAGAGGCGATGCCGAAACGAGGGCTTCGCACTGGAGTAAGAGGTATGGATTGAACAACATAGTTTGCACAACATAGAACGCACAACATACAATGCACACCCACAAATATTGCACAACAAATATTGCACAGCATTGATTGCAATACGTGGATTGCACCGCATATTCTGTACCACCTCCATTGCACCATATAGGTTGCTCAAACCATATTGCATCACATATATTATACTACCTTTTTTGTTCGCGCCTGCGGCGCGCCCTTTGATCGCTAACAACCAACATTGCACTACACGTATTGCACCACATAGACTGCACCACGTAGATCGCACAACGTACAGTGCACAACCTGGATTGCACCGCACAGGTTGCACTACATATGTTGTACAACATGGATACGCCCTCACATACTGCGCAACATACATTGCAAAACGTAGATTGCAGACAAACACTGCTTGGGGCCCACGCTGGCTAGCATATACGTGTATCGATGGATGCGTCTGCGCAAACAAACTATTCATCACAAACAGCATTCATACTAATAATAACAACGGCAGCAACAACAACAACAAAAGCACGATTAACACATAAGAAAAACAAATGTTGATATTTGAATGGAAGAGGGCCGAACGGTCATTCACTGCCCTTGGGTGCGTGGCTGAAGTGGGCTTCTGCGGTGCGGATTGTTGTTGTTGCCGCTGTTGTTGTTGCTGTTGTTGCTGTTGTTGTTGTTATTGATGTTGTTGCTGTCGAGCTCACTACTGACGAATCATTATTGTGGATCCCCCTCCAGGGCACATGGTGTTTTCCAATTGAAGCGCCCATCTCTGGGCTCGCACCCTGTTTATTATCTGGGTAAGCGGGGGGTCACCAAACTGGACCCCTGGCCACCGAGTTATAAGAACAACGGCTCCTCCCGCATTATACTTCCTCACAATGTATTCCCATATCGCGCTCTCGCGCGGGACTTCCTCACAATTGATGCAAGAATCGCGCTCTCGTGTGAGACTTTCTCGCAATTCATTCAGACGCCGAGCCCTCGACACACAGGAATCACGCTCTCCCTGCGGATTTCCTCACGATTTATTGGGAATCGCGCTGTCGCTCGAGACGTCCTCGCGATTCATGCCGGACGCGCGCTTCAGCAACCCGCCTGCTCGACCTGGCCGCTTGAGCCCGCCTTCCCGACCCGCCCGTTAAGGCCTACCCTCCCTATCTGCCCGTCTGGTTCTGCCACGTGTTTTCTGCTCCTAGCCCCCCTCTTGCTACTCTCTGTCGAGCTCCATCCTCCTCCCTCCCCCGTGTCCCTTCCTTCCATCCGTCCGGTCTCCCCCTACCTTAGAGGCTGCACGAACTACACGTTGTAGGTAAGAAAGGTATACCCCCAAAGGGGTACGATCGAAGACGCAGAGGGTACCGAGGGTTCGGGATATACGTGTTGAATGGCACGCGAGCAGATAAGAGCGAACAGTGTTAAAATGATTGTCGTGTTGCTGCTCTTGTTACTGTTGCTGTTGTTGTCGTCGTCGTCGTCCAGCCCGCGACCCGGCCAACTTTCCACACGCGACCCACCCCGCGAAACTCGCCCGCTCCCCGCCCGCGACCCACCCGCGACCACCCGCGAAACTCCCCCGCGACCCGCCCACGACCCACCCGCGACCCACCCGCGACGCACCCGCGACCCACGCGCGACCCACCCTCGACCCACCCGCGACCCACCCGCGACCCACCCGCGACCCACCCGCAACCCACCCGCGCCACCCGCGACTCGCCCACGACGCACCCGCGACCCACCCCGCGCCCGCCCCCTCACTCGTATCCGCAACTGCGGGGTGCTAGTGCAATATTAAAAGCGATACGAATAACAAAAAAAATATAATAATAGTAGTAGTAGTAGTAATAATAATAATAATCCATACAATGGTACTATGAAGAATAGTGGTAATGATAAGAATAAAAATGAAAATAATGATAAGGATAATGATAATGATAACGATAATGATAGTAATGATGATGTTGATATTCACAATATCAACAATACAACTAATAATAACAACAATAATAACCATAGAATACAAATACTAATGATAATAAGTATTAGTATAATAATACTAGACATACCAATAAAAATAATAAGAATAATGATGATGATCATGATAACAATAAGGATGGCGGCGAGCCAAGTGGCCAAGGGGGGGAATGCAGAGGGGACGGCCTTCTCGAAAGGCTCGGAAGACCTCGGGACTTCCAAGAAATTGTCCGCGCCTTCTCCGAAGAGACGGAGGCGGCCTCTCCGAAGGCCGGAGGGCTTCTGAGAAGCCCCGCCGCCTTCTGAGAAAGCCTGCCCCCTCACTTCCACCAGGGCGCGCCGCCGAATAGGGGTGGCTGCCAGCTTGGGCTTCGGCGGCGACTCACGGAAGCCTCCCGTGCTGCCATTGCTGGCTCTTGCGAATCGACGATAACCGACGCTAGTCGACGCTAGCCGACGCCCAATCGACGCTCATCGACGCTAAATCTGCGCTTCTCATCGATTACCAACGCTTGCGCGCTAACGCACTCGACAGGCGGAATGTCGAGGACATACAAAGCTCCAATGATGTGATGGCATATTGAACCGAGAAGGGGCGGCTGGGCTGGATCAGCTCGAGCCGAAATTGCTAACAGCTCCGCGTGCTCGCGCGCACCTGTGGACAACTTACGATTCACTGGTGTCCATCATGGCTGAATTTTGTTCGGATTCGACTCCTGGACCCCTCCAGGCATAGTCCTGACCAGTCTTTCAACTAGCATCCAGAGGTCTGGACCTCAGAGCCCCAGATGGTGAACAAGAAAGAAAATTGAACACGAGCGAGTCCTCAACCTCAACATGCAGAATCCAGCACAAAGTTGATAAGCGATGCAGGATCACCCTCAGCCTCAGGGAGACCGAAATCCGTCGACCCCTTTGGAATCACCATGCGTAGAAGATCTCTTCCCACGTGCGGAGATGTGCATCGAACTGGTCTGGCACACGATCCCAGAGATCCGACACATTCCTTTGTTGCAACACGGAATCCCCATAAGTCCCGACCCGCGTCCCAGGGCCAACTTGTCATCCCGAGCAATTTTTTGACGCATGTCTCCCAAGATCGCCACAGGCCCTCGGAAGCCGGAGACTGAGAACACAGCCGTCTTCATAGACACATCAGCCTTGATCTGCTCCATACCCTGAGAATCGACGATGACAAATATACACGTCGTTCATTTCTAATCGTGCTCATTTCTAATTGTGCTCGTTTCTCATTCTTCCTGGCCCCCTGGTGGCCAGGAAGAGGCCCAGGATAGAACAATTAGAAATGAAAGGATCTTGGCCCCCAAAAAATCAAAGAACTTCCCAATACTTAGAAATGAACCATGTGTACCGCTCCCTTCCCCCTGAGGGGGGGGGCGGGCTCGCCGTAGTCCAGCCCGGCTTGCGGCTCGAAGGACACCGACGGCACTGCGCAGGCCGCCGTGACTGGGATGGAGAGCAGGTCGTCCCCGACGCCTGCGGACGGGCTGGCGGCTCTGTGACCGGCCCCGCCCCGCCCCCGCCCCCCCCCCACGGCCTCCTTCCCGCCCCCCCCTGGTCACGTCACGATCCGCGCCGGCGCCGTCTGGGACTTGGCCACGCTTCGGACATTCCCGGACGGCGCCGGCGCCAATCGCGACGTGACCGGCCCCTCCCCCCCTCCCCCACCCTCAGGTGACGCCCGGTATCGCCAGAAAAAAAAGCGCTCTCCCGGGATCTGGGGAGAGGGAGGGAAACGAGGGGAACGAAAGGAGGGCTGTGAGGGCATTTCTGGGAGGTCTTCGCAAGAACGACTAGAAGCTACCAAGCCAGATTAAGAGGCTATTAAGCCAGATCACGCCAAAAGAAGCGGGAGAGCAAGCAGGATAAGCGGGGTCCATCCGGATAAAGCGGGAGTATGCCACACCCGGCTGGCTTTCGACCACGGAGATACCAGCGCCGATGCTCAGTGTAACCTCCCGGGAGTTGTATCTTCAAGGGGGGCTCGAAGTTCCAGGTTGTTGGGCCTCCTCCTCCTTCTCCTCCTGCTCCCTCCTCCTCCTTGCCCCTCCTCCTCCTCCTCCTCCTCATCCTCCTCCTCCTCCTCCTCCTCCTCCTCCTCCTCCTCCTGACCTCTGACTTGACCTTTTGAACCCCTTGGCCAGCCCTTTCCTGTCGCTGGGACGCAGAAAGGCATACCATGCGAGGCGGGGATTTGTCCGTGTCCACCGCCTGGGTGACGTCCTGGTGCCCCAGGCGGGCGGCGGATATGGATACACTTTGGGCCCCTGGGGGGCCGAGTGTGTCCACATCCACCGCCTACCGAGGCCCCCGAAAATTGATCTTCCAGGCGGTGGCCATGTAGAAATTCCCGCCTCGACTGCCAAGGTGTCCTCCTCGGAGGCATGCGCGTCCGACCCGAGCAGGCAGCACCAGCCTCTTGCAGTGTATCGTTCCCCGAGCGGGTACGGCCAGCAAGCGCGCCTGCCACGGAGCCTACTCTGCAAGACGTCTGCGCGCGCGGGCGACGCACACCTAGTGTTAGGATTAGGTCGGGCCTGTCCCCCTACAGGGGGATCTGGGGCGGAAAAAATACAACATTCAAAAAATCCAAAAATCCTCAAAAATAGTCCCAAAAAAACGTCCCCTGACTATTGGTTGACGATCTTTGAATATTCCCCCTGTATAGGGACAGGCCCGATTTAATGTCAGTATGCTGGGGTGGCGCCGAGTCGTTGCCTCTGATAAGAGGAGGACGGGGGGGAGCGGGTCAGGGACGGGCAAGCGCAGGATCAGCCAGCATCGAATCGGGGAGCCAGCCCAAATCGAAGCGTGCGTCGGGTCCAGGGAAGACAAAAACAAAACAAACAAACAAACAAAAAACGATACGGCTACTCCCCGAACATCTCCCGGGCTGCGTTCTGACCAGAATTCCGATAAGAATCCAGCCCCGGCGACGAGGGCTCTCTAGGACGAGCAGGTAGCTGTATCGGTACCTTCTCCGCCTGTGACAATTGGCATTTGCGTCGGATTGGACTGCCTCGGCACGGCATCGAAATCGAGCCGAGGCGTCGGGCCGCATCGGACCGCCCGGGCATCGGAGTCGAATCTGATCGGGCCAGGTGGGCTCGACGCCGAGCTGAACCGTTCGGCGCTCGAGGTGGGCCCCGAGGGGGGGGAGAGCTGGAGGGAGGGAGGGAGGGGAGGGACGAGGGAGGACGCACGGGGAGAGGGGGGGAGAAAGCGGGGTGCCCAGACATTCTCCCCAGACCCCCCCATCGCGTCGTGGAAGAAGTCGCGACGGAAGGGCCCAGGGCCGCCAAGAGACGACTCGAAATGAAAGGCCGGCCCCAGGGGAGGGTTCGAAAACTCCAGGGGGGGGGCTTTGCGAAAAAAACACGGCGCCAAGGGTCTGGTCCCGATGCGATTGTCTCACACCGCGGCCCTAGAGCTCCCAGCCCCTCCCCCCAGGGGAAGCTCTGCGACCAGGACCCGTTTCTATAGGCCGTCTCTCTTTTTGTCTCTGGCAAAACTTACTTGCATTGAGGGAGAGGGCGTGGCGAGGCCTGAAGGGAGGTCTGAACTCAACGCAAGCCGAGACTCACTTCCACGCCGCTTCGGCCCAGCGCCGGTCGACAAGGCAGCGGGGACCTCGCCCCAGGGGGAGAAAGGGGGGCGGGCGGGGTCAGATGCCGTGCGAGTAAAGTTGCCTGCGTCTAGAGCAAAACGCCCTCCTGATACGGCGAGGGCATCGGATAAAGAGTCATTAGACGAAGAACCCAGGGTCTGGAAGCCGGCGGAACTCCAGTCGTGGACTGGCCACGGGGCCCCGGCGCGGATCCCAGAAGACCGCGCGGAGCGCCTGAAGTTTCTGCTCATGGCGTTTGTTCCTCTTCGACTCTGGACAGGGGGGAGGGGGACGTGGGAGACGCCGGGGCCAGCGGGCAGGCAGGGGAGCGGCCCCGCCGCCGCCGTGCAGGAAGGAGGGGAGGGGGGGGGGCCTCCGCGGCCCTGCCTCGAGGCCGCCCCCTGCGCGGGAGCAGGGGCGCCCCGAGGACCAGCAGGAGAGGAGGAGGAGGAGGAGGAGGAGGAGGAGGAGGGAGAGGAGGAGAGGGGAGGAGGAGGAGGAGG